TCAATTATACACCAACTCCATTATACACCAACCCGAATGTGTAACGCTAAGTATGCTGCATTCCGACAAGAGATGAATATTGACAAGAGAATTCCGCCCTCACGCGCAGCACTGCTTGTCGACGTTCGCTCGAATAACGTTATTCACTCACATTAAGGTTACCCGGAGGCAGGGATTATCAATAATATATATATATTATAAAATATTGCAATACGTACAATTAATATACTATTAATATATGAACAATCCAATACTAAGTTACTAGGTAGTACAATCCAATACTAAGTTACTAGGTAGTACTACGTAGTACAATATACTTCGAAGTAGATATTATTATCAGTCCACAATAACCCATATATTGCCTGTATTGATCAATACAAGAAATATTATCAATACCAAAGACATATTGTGAAAATACTGTGGAATCATTGCCAAATTCGTACTGGAAATACAGTGACACAAACAATTGGGACTCTTGGGGATGTAGCTGCTCAGATTGACTGTGAAGCACAGTACATAAGTAAAACGATTTAGCCTCATGTAGCATAAAACACTATTGTAAATGCCATGTAGTCTCCCGGACGGAAAGAGTACTTGGTCCTGTCGATGGCCAAGCTTTCACAATACATTGGGTACAAGTGCTTCTCACTCGATGATCACATATCCACAATAAACCGGTATAGCATTGAGTGGTGGCATTTGTATAGTGAAGCGGTTGAACTGCTTTACCACGATTGGCTAATAATTTTGAGCTCATCTGAAGTAGCCAATCAAATCGATTTAAATTCCAACGAGAAACCACGCCACAACACGAAATTTCACTCGAAAGCACAATAGCCAAACACACAAAACATCTCATTTGAAAAATTGTCAAAATTGCAAATAGAGGTGTTTTCTTACATTTTTTGTGGCAGCCAGAGTGGCCCTTAGGGTTGTTTTATCTTCTATCCGGCTTATACTTCAAGTATTTTATTTTCAATTCTGAGTGCAACTCTCTTCGACCACCAAAGTTATTGAAATACTTCGAAGTATGATTGAAAATGGTCTGTTGTGGAATACTATACGTATAGTTAGTACACATCATGTTCTGATGCTAATGCAGATTTTAAGTTTGGGGACAGTACTCCTCCGACATATTTCGCTTACCAGGTATAGACATGCTGTCTAGACCACGCCACGTAAGACATTATTGGGGATGGCGTTGGCTAATCCGTTGTTAATAATGTTTAGAATTGGCTGAGGAGTAGGCTCCCCCAATCGCTCGGAAGCCTTTTCGCCCAAACATACGGTAAGATTAGAACAGCTTTTGTAGCACCACGAAAGGTTTCCAATGTCGAAATGTGCATTTTGCTTGTCCGAGCTGACGGCCGTTGCGTCACACACTGTGAATACAAAAAGTGCATTCTGAAGGATGCACTGCCATGTGTCAACATCGTGGGCTCAGCCGCCCTTGTGGCAGCGTCATTTCGTGTAGTGTGGGCGCCTGAGCCAAGCAGGCTCAGATAACTGGAACATGAGCCTAACGTTACTAAGCTTATACTGTACGTTTGCGACTTGTATCATGGCGTACTACTAACGTTACAGTCCGACGCGAATCATCACCACCATGTTTTTCTCCATTTTTTTCCAAAGTATTGAAAATTAAATTAATCCAAAAACATGTCCAGATTTGTTTTCTATTAATAAAACCAAGCATTTCTAGCTTTGAATTGCAATAAAATTCAAAATATTGAGTGAACAGTGAAAAAAAATACGTTTTTGCACCACTACTGTACTATTAATAGGATTACTACTATTATTACTAGTACAGTACTGTAGGTACAATACACTAAGTTACAAGCAGTACAATCTTGTGCTCAATAGTTTCATCTATTTGGAGCTCTGTACTCGCAGGTTTGGAGATTCGGTATGATTCAATTGACCGAACCGCGCACCAATCTCTCCCATTGGTCACTCATACATTATTTGTCGCTGATTGGCTACAATCCATTTTCGGTTTTCGACTGGAAACGGCTCGGTTGAACGAAGCATGGAAAAATGGAAAATTAGAAGAAAATGACAATTAATACAGACTTGATTTCAATAGTTCAAGTGTTTGGAGCTCTGTACACTACAAGTACATTGTGGTGATCAATAGTTTCATAGCTATTTGGAGCTGCCAGTGACGTCCGAGATGCCCGTGGCGACCACGGACACGCGAATCTTGCCCGTCATCGCCGGGTCAAACGACGACCCAAAGATAATATTGGCCAGCGGATCCTCCACTTCCTACAAATATAAATATATGTGAATTAATTATTCATCCCCCACTCGAATAATAAACCCAATCCAATCCCCCCACTCGAATAACAAACCCAATCCAACGGATATGTCGAAATCATCAACCAATATATATATATAAATTCTCGATTCGAGGACAAACCTGCGTCACGCGCTCGGCGGCCGCGTCCACTTCAAAGAGCGTCATGTCCGGCCCGCCAGTAATATTCACGAGCATGCCTTTTGCAGCCTACAACAAGACAAATATATAATTCTATAAATATATATATATAGTCATCGTACTTTGACCGAGACGTCGCCCAGTAACGGGTTGTGCAGCGCGTCTTCCGCGGCGCGCAACGCCCGGTTGTCGCCTTCCGCTTCCCCCGAACCCATCATGGCGGGCCCCATGCGCGTCATGACGGACTGGACGTCGGCAAAGTCGAGGTTGATCAGCCCCGGCATGACCATGAGGTCCGTGATGTTCTTCACGCCTGACAGCAGCACGTCGTCGGCAATGCTAGCGCCAACACATCATCGTCACGATATTGTGCATTTCACCCAAATTTGGACTTGTGAGAAGTCCTTTCGCCAAATATACAGTAGCATTCGAGTCCAAGTTAAACTCTTACAAACTATACTTTACAAAGAATAGTATATATGCGGTTTTGCCCAATATGCGGAGGACTCAAACGTTTGGATGGGCACACATTCACCAAAACGCGATTTGATAGGCTTTGGCGGTTCATTTATCCATATTCTCTCAAGAAATTCGATTTTTCTGCTGAGGGGCTCCAGTTTCGAATCGATTTGACAATAATATCAAGAGTAATTAAACAGTGGACGACGGTGTGAAACAAAGGAGGACAATTGAAGTATGTGAGGTATTGCGTGTTTTCAACATTTCCTTCCTCCGTTGACCTTCGATATTTCATATCAAACTAAGAGGTATCGTTGTCACTTCAAGAATCAATATTTTTAGCCAATCAAATTGCACCTTTATTCTTTGTAGCCAATCAATCATACTCGTTTGGTCGACTTTTAGTTGGCAATTTTCATCAATCCCGCAAAATAGGCAAATTTGATTTACTTCAATGTACAATATCGAGGGAACGAAAGAGAGAGCTGGTTTGTACCGGAAAGCATCCATGAGCGACGTCTGGTCGGTGGACATGTTGAACAGGTTTTGGTTGGGGATAACGATCATCGTGTCCACGCTCTGTTTGAGCTCGTGCAGCCCCTGGTCGGCCAGCTTCATGCGATGGCTGCCTTCGAAGCGGAACGGCTACATGTCATACAACACTGTCAGCAACTTGCTCGAGAACGACGACCAATCGACCTTGGTGACCACGCCGACGGTCAAGATGCCCGAATCCAACGCGGCTTGCGCGATCACGGGCGCGGCCCCTGTCCCCGTGCCACCGCCCATCCCCGCCGTTACAAACATCTACCTCCCATGTATTGCATTCAGAACAAAATACAGCTTGGAACAAGTCGAACCATGTTGGCGTTGCCAATGCGCTCCATGATCTCGTCCAAGCTAGCTTCCGCCGCCAATCGACTGAAACAACATGGTGATGATTATTGTGATGCATTCTATATGACACCATCGGGGTATGAGGTTACCCTGCGTCGGGGTTGGCGCCGCAGCCGAGCCCTCCCGTGAGCTCGGACCCCATCTGGATGCGATTGTCGGTGAGAGTCGTCTTCAGGTGCTGCGCATCCGTGTTGCACACGAGGAAGTCGACGCCATGCAACCCGCGCGCAATCATGTTGTTGACTAGTGGTCGATTCATGTATCAGTCAAGGAAGTACCCATAAGATTCGTGAGGAAAGAGAAAGGGCGTACCAGCATTCCCGCCGGCACCGCCGACGCCCACGACGATGATTTTCGGCGCGAACGAGTTTACATGCGTCTCATGGAGGTGATCCAGCCATGGATGGGGTGATGTCGTTGCGGCTTCCTCCGCCTCGGGGCCAACCACGTTGGATGGAACGTACAAATTGTCATCATGCGTGACGTCGTCGTCCTTTTGGCTCTTGGAAAAGCCCTGGGAGGAGCACATGTTTTGTTACCCAAGTAGAAGAGTTGGCATGAACATGCATACCTTTTGGAGAGATGCAGCCGCAGCGTCGGCGGCTGATGTGGACAGTGCGCGGACGTGGCGCAAGCTCTGGAAGGTCACGACGCGGGCGAGCATAAGGATCAAGTTGAGGTGGTCAATAGATGCAAAAAAAGATCGCAATTTTGACCAATCAGCGCCGTCGTCTTTTTAGGCAGCATAAAAACTCGACAAACTTTTCCAAAGTCATGGACAGCTTTGATCTGTTGTCTGATGTAGAGTGGGGTGCGATGAGAAGGAAACGTGTAGCATGTTGACGAGGACCGAGAGAGTGAAGGCGCACTTGCTCGACGAATGCTGGTTTCAGTATGGAAGGGATGATGCAACATTGATTCTATAAGTGATTGGCCATCGAGCGTTGGCCGAACTACTGTAGTAGGGGAACCCTGCGAAGTATTCTCCACGATAACGTTAGGTGCCATGACTGCGCTCAGGTAAGCGGTTTGGCTGTTGGCTAGCTTTGTTGGATAGAAGGGGGTGCTTGAGTGAAGAAGGACGCGCCCGACGATGACACGGTCGAGTCTTTGCACACGACGTACTTTGCTTCGGGTTGTCGCTTGCCTTTCTCAATGCTGTCTAGAATCCATTGCGGGTGTACACAGTGCACACGTCCGCCAGCCTGCTCGATCCGTCACGATGAGGTGGAAGTAGAGGAACATGGACTTACCTTGAGCACGGCTTCTGTCTTGGAGCCACTCAAGTTCGTCGCAATTACATGTGTGACTCTGGTCTTGCGATGCATGATGCTAAAAATACCATTGTCAGCAGCAAATACACATGAGTATACTTGTTGGATCCAACTCACGAGGTTCCTGCACCATGGGCTTTGGCCATCTTGATCAAGTAGTACCTACATGAAATCACGTTTCGTCATGATCGCACTCACGTTGTGAAATTGATGATCACACATACGAGGATACATTGCCAGTTCGCCCGTTGAAATAGAAATTGCATCCCTGCGTCAACGTGAGTCCTACACCGATCTGGGACTCGTCGGTGTACCTGGAATAGTGTGGACACGCATGCATTCTCCTTATCGGCCTTGCGCTCATGGAAGGAGGACGAGGAGCGATGCTTCTCCGTACTGCGCTTCATGGCCGCGGAGGCGGCGGTCCTCTTGTCCTCCGGTAGCCGCATGGGTCGCTCATTGCGACTGGTTGGTCCGCTTGGTCCATTGATGTTGAACATTCTGCGCGCAATTTCAAATGTCGTTCAGGTCCCGCGAAAATAATTCCTCCAATCAATGATCGCTATAAGTGTGATTTCCACCAATCAAAAGGCTATATTTAGGACTCCAAATCTGTGTCCACTTTCCAACATGACATCAGCATTGACCTCGTCCCTCTTGACCGCAGGATGCAAGGACATCCCAAAGAAGACCGGCGTGATCGGAGACCTCGTGAAGGAAATTCTTGCCGTGGAAGTCCAAATGCAAGACGCTCATGTTGTGGCCAAGCAAGACCCAGACAAAGGCGAACAAGTACTCGACCTCTACGTGAGATTCCTCGAGCGTCGCGATCTGCTAATCGCCCAACTTCAAAAGGAAGGCATGGCAGTTCCATGGCAGTTGCGTGTGAAGATCGACGAATTCGAGCAAACGGTATGATGATGCACAAAGTAAGAGAGTCCAACGCAGCTTTATGATAGCTCAAAGAACGCAAGAAGCTCTCCGCCAACAAGTCGGCGCCGTTGTTTAGCACCACGGACAACGAACGTTCCCCGCAGACCACACCGACGGATTCCGTGGACAGTCCTTCATCCGTGTCGGAAACATCGTCCGTCATAGCGGGGGTCCTCCCTCTAGTTGTGTCGTTGCTTGTCGTAGGAATTGCAGTCTACTTGGCGGCGAATTATGCGCAGTTCGACTTGTTGAAGTAAATGTACCTCGTAGACTGACTGAACTCGAGGCCATGTCGTTCGATCGTACATATTCGATCGTACATACGAGTACTCCAAGCATACATAGGACACCAAGGGGCGTACAGTGCTCACAGTCATCAGTACTATATACTAGTACACGGAGTAGTAGTAGTAGTAAGTACTAGTAGTACACGGATATACTAGTACACGGAGTAGTAGTAGTAGTAAGTACTAGTAGTACACGGATATACTAGTACACGGAGTAGTAGTAGTAGTAAGTACTAGTAGTAAGTACTAGTAGTACACGGCAAGTACTAACCACGACGATGGATCTATCACTTGCACATCAGTCAGTGCATATTCGAATTTTTCTTGCATCGATTGTCCAATCTTTGTCGATCGGATCCATGTGTCGCACGTCGAATGTGGTCTGCTGCTACGCTAGTTACACCAGGAAAGTGATGTATGCTTGAGGCATGGGTGGGCCCCTAAAGCAACGGTATCACGTGGCATTGTATAGTATTACGCCAAGGAAAATTACATGCAAAAACTATTGAAAGATATAAAAATAGTCCCCAATTGCTACATCAGCTAGATTCGTCGTTCGGGGAAAGCCTTCAGATCCTGGATGGAACCATCTTTGTTCGTTTAGCAGCAGCCGCCCGACTTGGAGCCAACGTCCTTGCCAGGCCCCAACGAGATGGCAGGCTTTGACACCACGGGGGCGTTCGCCATGCGCTTCTTGATCTGCGCGGCCATCATCATGAACGCCTTCTCGACGTTGGCGGCGTTCTTCGCCGACGTTTCCAAGAACTCAATACCCAGGCTTTCGGCAAATTCCTTGGCCGCGTCCGTGCTCACGACACGCTTGGCCGTCAAATCACTCTTGTTACCGACCAGCAATTTGTTGACGTTCTCGCACGCATAACGGTCGATTTCGTGCAACCATTGCTTCACGTTGTTGAAAGACTCTTGGTCCGTCACGTCGTACACGACAATGATACCATGGGCACCCCGGTAGTAACTGCTCGTGATGGTGCGGAAGCGTTCTTGGCCTGCGGTGTCCCAGATTTGCAACTTGATCGTCTTGCCGTCCAACTCGATCGTGCGGATTTTCTATGGAACATGCGAGGTCAAAACCCATTACATCATGCTCGACACACGTACGAAGTCGACGCCAATGGTGGAAATGTACGATTCTGTGTAGGTATCGTCGGCAAATCGAAGCAACAAGCACGACTTCCCGACGCCGGAGTCTCCGATGAGGAGCAATTTAAACAAGTAGTCGCTACAACGCCACCGTTAGAATGTCCATGCATTGTACGACAGCGTGTCCCCGCCAAGTTGACGGGGGAGGTGGATTCATTCACTTACTATTCGGGGTTCATCTTGATTGACCTACACAGATACGTATGAGTTCACCGCCGCTTCCGCTATCCATCGATTCACATGCTTCTTACCTCGAGTTCAGTCAGTCAAAAGTTGTTCTGAGGTTGGAGCCTCCGGTTCTGAAGAAAAACGGTTGCGCGTTGCAAACAAAGCATACAAATATCAAGTAAAACCTATTTATAAATTAAAATAATTTGCCCCACCCCTTCCGCCTGCCTTCTCTTCTTCGGAATCTGTTTGAAACACGTTCATTTGATATTTGTATACTGCATGTTCGAATTGTTTAAAACCTCTGCTTAACGAGCGCTGATTGGTCCATAGAAAATTCGTCGACCATACAAACCCCAGCACAATCAAAATGAGAGATCATTGCTGGCGATTTCTTATTGGCTATAATCGCGCAGAGAACCGACCAGCCTTACCGAATCTTCGAGAAATACAACCACATCAGACGACAATGATGTAATTTGACATGGGCTGCAAGCAGTGTAGATGTGCTCAAGGTCACACGCCACCTTAATCAAATTTACATTGGCCTTCAGCTCTACGGTGGTGGAAAATGCTTGGCGTAAGTAGTTAGTTACAGTACATGTAGCAAAATACCTAGGAGATCTTTGTGAAAGTGTTAGGATTTGTTTGTCGAGGGGGCATTTGGCTCACTTCTACATGGAGCTGTGCTGGGGACCGCGTGTATCCAAGCACATGTAAGCTTACCTAACTATCTATGATGCACTTCTGCAGCGAGCACTTACTCGGTATAGAGCATGTTTCGTTGGCAAGGCATAAAAAGATAGGATCTCGCTCCAACGATCTTGCAATACCGGTAGTTATCCGGTCGTTGTACCATTCCGGATAATAGAACGTTTATCCGTACTTACGTTTTAATTCCGTCAGCTTTGGAGAATTTGACGACATCAACATGATGGACACGCAGCATCAGCAGCAGGCTTCGACGGTGCAACCAGCCCATCGAGTGGAGACGGAGCATACCGACATGATCTACGACATGAAGATAGACTACCACAGCCACCGTATCGCAACGTGCTCGTCAGACCGCACGGTGCGCATCTACGAGGCTAAGCAAAATACCACAACCCCAAACGCCCTCGTCGCCGTTTTGGACGTACCATGCGACGGTCCCGTGTGGCGGGTAGCGTGGTCACACCCCAAGTTCAATGTCCTGGCGGCCTCGACGCAGTGCGGGAAGGTCGCGTTTTATCGCAATAAAGCGCCGACCGGGGCCCCGGAGGCATGGGGTCTCTTGGACGTGCATCAAACCCGTCCGTCGAGCATCAACGCCATCGATTTCGCACCACACGAGTACGGCCTCGTCCTCGCCGCCGCTTCTGCTGATGGCACGGTGTCCTTGATCACGATGACGCAGGCTGGATGGGTGACCACGTCGTCGTTCCAGGACAACAGCGTCGGGTGCACGAGTGTGAGTTGGGCCCCGTTCAATTCCCTCGGCGGACAAGGCGTCCGTCGTGTCGTTGTCGGCGGGTGCGACTCGATCGTCAAGATTTGGTCCCTCCTTGATGGCGCCTCAGCATGGCAGACGTAATCCATGCTCCTGCTCATCTCCTTTCTTGACTCGTGGTTGCCCTTCTAGCACGGAGTCCCTTCCGACAGGGCATTCGGACTGGGTGCGAGACGTCGCATGGGCTCCCAACGCCGGCATGCCATGCAACACGATCGCCAGTGGCGGCGACGACCGCCGCGTGCTGATTTGGTCGCAGGTCGAGGCTGGTGGCCCGTGGACGGTGGAGCAGCTCGGGGCGTCGTTTCGTGCCCCGGTGTACCGGTTGGCGTGGTCGGTGGCAGGTATGACGTGGCATCATCATAGCAAAGATGACGACATTGGTGGTGGGGGATAGGGCAAGTGTTGAGCGTGTCGGCGGGCGAAGACAGCGTGACGCTGTGGAAGCAAAAGCAGCAGTCGTCCAATCAAACGTGGCGGTGGACGCTCGTGACATCGATGGCCGACTCAGGCGCCGTGCCCGCCCCGCCCACGCTGTAGTGTCCTGTACTACATGTAGCATTGGTGCCATAGATTGTCACACACCCTTCCAGACACAAACACATGGGCAATGTCCACAGCCCTTGTTGCAACTACCGACAATGCGTGGCACGTAGAAGTAGTACTACTTGAAGGATTGAAAACACAAGGGTCAAATGAATGTTTCTATATTGGTAAGGCGAGGGCGGTGTCCTGAAGGCATCGTTGGGCCATCGATCGATACATGATGATTAAGCGCCCGCTGCAATCCCATTTACAGCTCGGACTACTGTACTACAAGCATGAGTCCACAGCTTCGGCTACCACTACCACTTTCCCCACGCCTACTACTGTAAACCCGGCTATCACCACCACTTCCCCCTAGATGACAACAGTAGCTCCGGCTACCACCACTTACCCCAGTTAGCATCACTCTTGAGCAGCGAGCGCGGAATTGCTATAGAGGGCGCGTTGGACCAAAATACTAGAATACTAGTATTACAGTTGTAATAGTTGATTCACGCTGTAGTCGTCAACTATCGACCAAGACGGTTGATGCCAGTGATGTGGTTTCCCACGTGGTGCTGTGAATAAACACTGATGTGCGAAGACTTCAAGACAATACACGATTTCCAGCGACATAACTGCAAAATGGTGTAGTAGTAATGAAGCCACCGTGATTTACATGTAAGCACTGTGTACGATTGCAGGCTTGTTCGCACGGTCGTTCCAAAGTGAACAACCGATTCCTCTTGGAGTTTTCATTCGAGTATGTATATGTTTGCGAAGAAGGACACTCCATGTACATACACACATGAACGGTTGCGTGCAAAATGTTTGCAAACAGGTCCTACAACGCGGCCACGTCACGGCTCATTTCTGCGGCACGCCACCTTGGATAGTGATGCGATGCATGACGCGACGGCTCGCGACGTTGTCGTTGATCGCTACATGTTGTAGCCGGCGGTTGTCCCAAAAGGCCACCGACCCCGGACTCCATCGGAACCGACACTGGTGTTCTGGACGGAACGCTTTCCCATACAGCATGTTCAATATCGGAGCGCTTTCATCCACCTAAACTCTCAAGGTGAAATATCCAACTTCATCTTGTAACGAAGGTAGCATGTGGACGATACGCACAGTCATGTGCTCAAAGCATTGGGTGAACATGGGATTCACAAACAACACGCGCTTGCCCGTTTCGGGGTGGATGGTCACCACTGGATGGACTACCGAGTTGTCGTGGCCTTTCTGGTACGTCATGGCTGCTGTGCCGTTAAAGTTGGCCTGACACTGTGTCAAAATTGGAGTCGCACCAAATCGAACCTACCTACCTGACGCTGTGCCGAGGCCGAAAATGCGTGGCTAGATGTGTGCACCGCGTGGAGATTGGATGCCATGGATTGAAGCCCCGAAGAGAGACTGTTGTAGGCGGCCTACATGCAGTTGAAGAGGGTGTCGTTGCCGTATTCTGGCAATTCGTGAGCCACGAGCACCTGAAAAGAGCTAAGCCCGCAGACTTCTGGGATTTCCAATCGATTTACCGAGCCCAGAGGCGGGGCGTGCATGAAGCTGTGGTCTGAGTGCCATTCCTCGCCAAATCGCGTCGGTGTCCCTGGCTCCTTGACAATCTGAAGGATGTCAGGGTGGCCTGCCATGCCTTGCACGATGGGATGGCGTTGCTACACATGTTCTTGGTGAAAGGTTAGACAAAGATCGTCGTCTTACGATGGAGCCAAAGAGGCGAGAAAATGCCAAATGCGCGTGGGGAGTTAGTCCATGCTGTCCGCGGAAGAACAACACGCCGTACTGCAGGAACGCCGCATGGATTTCGTCAACCACAGGAGGCGGCACAGGCTTGGTCAGGTCGACGCCTTCGACTTCTGCGCCGAGGGTGCCCGTGACAGGAAGTACTTGAATGAACTTAAACGATAGCACGTCGTCATGACGATGTTGGGCCAACGTGAACTTGGTGCGGCGGGACAAGACGCGCTTCATGGTGTCAACTTCGTCGATCAAAGAATGAATGATCGTTTCCACGGAAAGGCCACCGCCGGCTCTGATTGGCTGGTTAAACGATGCCATGCTTGGGGTTTTCTTATTAACTGACATTTAACGTACGATTTGACCTAGGACATTTCATGAGCGTGATATTATGAAGCCTGTGAGACTACAAGGTGGCAATCACTTGAACACTGGCTGGCTTATCGACGCAAACAAATACTGCAGATTGGATAACCTTACTTGTTGTAGCTAGCTGTGCATTGGGGCTTCGTTTGCAAAGTTCACTAACGTTAACGTTACGTAGTACTACAGTGCTGGCCAGTATCTGGGATTAATTTTGTCCAATAAAACGTAGAGACATGCGGAATATCCACCCCACACCATGATGCCACCACCACCATTGGGATACGACTCGTACATGATACCAGACGTACTTACGGATGCTAGTACGTCTGGCATGATGTATGAGTTGAAACCAAGTCGTATTCGACGCGTCCCAATGGTGGTGGTGGCATCATGGTGTGGGGTGGTTTTTGCATCCTCGGCAAACTCGATCTGGCCTTTGTCTAGGTTTGCCAAAAGTCTGATGATTACGTCGTAACACTGTCCAATCATCTGCTTCCTTTTGGGCACTAGAATAACCGTTCGAACGTGTAAATTACGCAAGATGGGGCCGCCATTCACCGTTCCAAAACTTTGTTGGCATTTTTGGACGAGCAAAACATCAACTTATTTGAGCACTCTGTGCTGTTCCCAGACCTCAACGCGATCGAAAACGTCTGGGGCATGATGGTGCAGTATGTGAATGTGAGTGGGAAGCAGAACGGCAGTGTGTGTGACCTTGGACTAGCAATTCAGCGCGACTGGTCCTCCATCGATCAAGACTACCTTGCCAAGCTCATTGCATCGATGCCACGTCGTTGTAGATTAGTTCAGAGGCAAAGGGGTCCAACACAAAGTACTAGCAAGTGTTTTGAGTGTACTTAACATCGTACTGCACCTTGAAACCTGTGATTTCTGAAGTGGTTGGGATCCTATTGACCACCCCTCAAAATGGTTTTTGGACAAATATAAAGTTTTTATCGGATCAAGCTGTTGTAACGGACCCAATAAACAACCAATTAAAACAGAGAGAATGGTATATTCCTCATGTCTCTACGTTTTATTGGACAAAATTAATCCCAGATAAACTTATCCATTGCGTCGATTAAATGTATTATATACAAATTAAGTGATATTATTTTAAATATTAGGATTTGAAAAATGTCAATGCCATCATCGTCGAAAACGTCTTGCACATCAAGACCCTTCAGCTGCGTATGAAACTCACTGTCAATGTGGACCTTGATGCGTGACGACACGTTGGAACATGGGCTGAGCTTGTCGTTGAGATTGACGGCGGCACGTTTCCAAATAAGGCGCACGGTGGTTCGTTCATGACGGTGCTTCTTGCCACGCCGAAGTTGGCCGCCACGGCAGCAAATGCACCATGCGGGGAGTGTTGATTGGTCATTGCCCAGAGTAAGAAGGTGCTGCAAGACAGCAGTCCGGTCCGAGTTGGACAAATTCTTGGCGTGTGGGCTGACATTCTTAGATACTTGTTCGGATAAACGAAGTATTATCCGGGAATCTGTTATCCGGATACGCTTGCGCCGAATATCATATAGGATAAACTATGGCATCTGTATTTACTGAATTTCTCTCTTTGATTGGTTCATTTTTGGCTCGAAGCATCTTGATTGGTATATCTTGATTGGTATACTCTGAAACCTCCTCTTCACATACATATCGTTCGTTTTAGATAATTCGATGTTCATTTTTCAAAATATCTGATTGTAGCGAACATTTCAGGACAGAGGTAGTAGTATTTACAGTGAAGAAATTTTGCCAAAGCTATAGGCTTAACTACTCCGGATAATGATATCCGGAAAATCGCCCATTTTTGGAAACTCACATGTCAGAAACTGGAACCGTCGAGCAACAACATGGCATACTCGAAGGACGAGTTTGAGGCCGTGGTGGCAAGCCATTTGAGCGGATGGACCCCTGCGACTACCCCTTCCAACGCCGACAAGCTCAAGCTGTATGCGCTCTTCAAGCAAGCTACAAAGGGAGACAACACGACGTCTCGTCCAGGGGTATTCGACGTGGCTGGTCGTGCCAAGTGGGATGCGTGGGCGGCCAAGAAGGGGTCGACCAAGCAATCGGCGCAGGATGCATACGTTGCCGAGCTCACGCGACAAAAGACAGTGTACAAAAGCAAGCTGTAATGCTATCGATTATTACAGTTCGTCTCGAGATTGCTCCTCCTTCTTGCTCTGGAGGGACCGAAGGACGTGTTCGTAGGCCAAATTGAACCGAACGCGGCACGATTTGCACGGAAAGTCTTTGGTGTACAGTGGTTTGTACCAGTAATTCACCGCCACATTGCGGGCTTCATGGGTCGCGGGGGTCGAAATCACCTCGTGCCACCAAAACGACGGCTAAGATACCGCCAAATGTTGTTGGTCAAGATCGTCGTCACGCATCCTCATCACGACAAGCATACTAGTATGTACCACAAAAAGGGTGTCGCCTTCGTTCACGGTACATCGCAATGCGTTGGCTTGGGCAAAACGAGGGTATCTCGTCACGTCGGCCGGGTCGTTGATATCCACGGGGCTGTTGACCATCGATGTGGATTCCATGAGTTTACGCCTGTAAAACCCATCACCAGACGCGTCCATTTCGTATTGCGCCTACACCACCCGTTCGTGTACCCACCCTTTTTTGTCCCCTCGTACCTCGCGAATGTGCCCTTCGTACAGCCGCGTGTTGTCCGATGGGTCGTACAGGACAAACTGCTTTTGGCCTGAAACCATTGTCATCAAGTTTTCGTACGCGTCAAAGTGGAGTTTGCCCACACTTTTGCCGTCGCCAAACCACAAGTTTGCCACGTCCAGCTGCAGAAACGATGACGTGGCCCACGGGAATTGAGGCGCGTTCGTTAGCAACTCGGGAACGTACGTAGCCATGGACAAATACTCCAAATAATATGACGTGGTCGACGGCAAAGCCGTCGTTAAACGATTCACAAACGACGAAAACGCCATGTTCGCGGCAGCCGGACGTACCAACACTCTGTCTGGGGACTCCAAATTCTTGAGCACAAAGTCTGGAATGGCTACATTTATATAACGTCAACAACAGTAGATTCATTATATGTGTAGCCCATCCACCCTCCAAATCACATGTGACAAGGTATTGATTGTTGTGTGTTTATTCTCTAAACTGGAGCGACATGGAGAATGAATCGAACACGCAACCAAGAATCGGCAAGAGAATTTAGCCAATCAGATTGCAGGAAACCGTCATCAACGTAAAATTAGTGTGAGACTTCAATTAGTGTGATACCAATCATCAAAGGACACCTTTTTACATACAAAATTCAGTTAAAAGGACAATATCAATATGTACTGGTTGGTATATATATATGTTTAGCACGAACACTCTAAAGGAAGCATAGCTTATGTCGAAAACAATTCAAGAAATATGCATCGAGAACGTACTGTCATTCGCGCCTTCCCACCACGCCAGCGGCTCGCAGCCTTCAAAGTCGCCAGTGGGGGATACCTTGACATGAACTTGGCGGCTGCCAATGCGTTCGAGAAGCGACTGGGTGGACCACTCCGTGGCGTTAACTAGCTCTGGCGCGGCCCGCTGGATGATCAACGGCTCATTGCGCAGAATGAACTGCTCGAAGAGTTCAGGAGTCATGTCGTGGGCAGCAACAGTCTTGCAGGACGACGTCGTCGCGGGGACGGTGAACAATTGAGACTCCAACGCGCGGGCGATGGACGCGAGGGGATTGATCTGCCCGTCAGGGAGGCGGTGCGTATGCGCTCGTTGGTTCACAAATGCCACGAGGTCTACTGCAGACACTGGACCAGTGTACGTTTCGGCCGAAGGCAAGCCACGAAGCAAGCAGGACTTGGCGGCATGTGCATCGTGCCGCGGGTAGTACAGAATGGCAGTCGACTGTCGCAGCAAGTCGACATCTTGCTGGAAACACACGGCAGACTCGTCGTGAAACGCCGCCTTCGCGGCCAGGAATTCCGACATGAGCGGACCGGGACTGCCACGGTACACGAAGGTATGGCAACTGGCATTCAGCGCTAGCGACAGGGATGCGCTAGCTGGCTCAAGGACAATGCTTAGGACAACGGCGAGTACGGCAAGGACTACTAGCATGTTGATGCTCGTGTGATGATGACGATGACACGAGACAGGAATCCTTCAAGTGAAGTGTGAGAAAACTTGATTGTCAAAACAGTGGAAAATATTTTCTCCAGAGGATATCAGAATTACCCGATATATGGAAAAATGTCAGAAATTATTGACAGAATATTGTTATGCTATATCCGGAAATTTCGGCGTGGATTTGATAATATATTGAAAAAATCCCAACGCAGTGGCGGGAATTGAAAGGTGCCATGAATACGTCCAAGCACCTCCCGTGGGTCGAGAAGTAGTACGTCCACCACCACTATGGCTATTGAGTAGCATCAGGATCTCCTGACGTATGAGTGCCTATCCCGTAGTCGACCGAAGACTGTGGACGACATCTCGCATCAGGACGAAGTCGTGAACGCGCTGCGCACGTCGATTGCCAACGGTCAGCTTCCGCACTTGCTCTTCTACGGTCCGCCCGGGACAGGCAAGACATCTACGATCATTGCCGTGGCACGTGAGTTGTTTGGTCCCAAGTTCCGCGAGAACGGTCGCTTCCTGGAGCTGAATGCGTCAGACGACCGCGGCATTTCGATCATTCGGGAAAAGGTCAAGTCGTTCGCCCAAGGCGCGATCTCTGGGTCGTCCACCATGCCCCCGTTCAAGATCATCGTGCTGGACGAAGCCGATTCCATGACGAACGACGCGCAGTCGGCGCTCCGTCGCATGATGGAAAACTACTCCAAGGTGACGCGGTTCTGCCTCATTTGTAACTACGTCAGTCGGTACGAACGCTCTCATATGATCGTAGCTCACACATGATCTTCACCCGTAGCATCATTGAGCCCGTGGCGTCGCGATGTGCCAAGTTCCGCTTCCAGCCGCTCGAGAAGGTATCCATGACGGCGCGCATCGAACACGTATGTCGAGAAGAGAAGATTTCCATCACCCCCGCCGCCACGACGGTGCTGCTCGACGTGTCTGGCGGGGACATGCGCAAAGCCATCAATTTCCTCCAGAGCGCCAACCAATTGAGCGGCGAAGACATCTCGGAAGACGCCATCTTGGCCATTGCCGGGGTTGGTTGTTCATGTATCCTCGGATATACTCATTACGTTGATGTTTGGTTTGGTGTATATAGGTGGCCCCCACAGAACTGTTTGACCTCATGTGGCAACACGTGGCCAAAAACTCGTTCGACCGACTCAAAAACGAAGTGGACGACATCATCTACAGCGGGTACCCCGTGCTCACGATCCTCCACCAACTGACCGACCAAGTCGTCCGCCACCCGTCCATGGACATGTTCAAAAAAGCCAACGTATGCCTGCGTATTGCCGAAGCCGACAAGAAACTCGGAGATGGTGCCAGCGAGTACATGCAGCTCCTGGACGTGGCCGCGTTCCTTATGCGGACGTATCACGAGTAATCACAAATAGCACACACAATGCTCATGTCTGTGACTCACATTTCAATATCCACCAAGAATGCATGCGTGGCAGTAGTGTTACGAGGCTTACAAAGGTCCTCCTTCCTTGGTTGTTGTGACGCCAGTAGGGTATCCAACACTTGATTAGAGTGATCCTTCTTTTATAGTTATTAATACTATTAGGTATATTCTTATACTATTACGTATTAGTATAAGAATATACCCCAAGATGGGGATAACGTTACTGTACCACGTTTACACGTCGACTGACTTATGACTATTTTATCACGCTGTAAACGACGGGATGATGTCGGTTTCACATATGAAACTGCCGTATTGAGGATAACGACATAATTCATGACGCCGTGAAGAGGGAGACGTGTGCCATGTGCAGCAAATGGAACTTCATTCTACACTCTACTTCTGTACTACTCCAGAGTACATGGTTTCGAGAAGACAAACACATTCCGGTGTAGAACGACCCACCCTGCCTATTTTGCAACTGAAACCGCCATTGTGGGCGACCATACTGTAGTTGAAGCGTTTCATGTGACCGTTCGACCATCCTAACGAAATCGCCAATTCATTGACGTTGAGTTTCACATGCGAATACTGCCACATCCTGTCAGCAGTTCAGACAAGAAGTCTCCTGCGCTGCTTCGACCTGCATTTGGCTGCCTCTACATTGTCCTCTCGGTCTTGTGTTCTTGTGGGTACCTCGCGCTTTTGCACCCGTCCTTATCAAACGATGTTTGGTGGCACAACTACACGACATCGGTAGACCAGGCTCTCGCCATTGACATGTTCAACACTCTTCTCGCGACACAAACCAGCGGGCCAGTGGATCTCTTGGCGCCACGTGCAACCGTGGACAAACTGTATTCCACATCTTCGATGTCCACCTTCACGTCGTTGCAGTCCACACGCGGTCGTCGGCTGGTTACCACAGAGCTGACGTCCATTCCATACGCAGTCGAGAACTTAAGGGCGTTGGACCCTGTCGAACTCGGGTGGATGGGGACTCAGTACTGTTGGGTCGATTTCGACCGCCAGTTTGAGCTGGCCCACACTAGTTCCCGTCAGCGTCGATGCCTCGCCCACTATAAACGCAACGGCGCCGTGTACTTGGAGGCCGTGGTGCGCAACCAGAACTGGGCCAACTTGATGACCCACATTGGCGGCGACGACGGCTTGTTTACGGTCGCGATTCTGGACTGGCTGGATCAAACGGAAGCCGGCCAGAGGTGGATTACAGCGACGTCCAACGCCAGAATCACTACGACCGTGGCGGACGAGGTGGCGTACTGGGAGGCCCGCTTGCTCACGTCGTTTACGCTTCAGTGGCAAAATGACTATATCACGGGGCTCTCCGACCTGTTGACGCTGCAAAATGCGCTCGGCATGCAATATGACGTCTTGTTGAGTCGCATGCCATCCAAGCTCGCGACGTGGACGTCCATTGTCATGTACTGTGCGTTCTACAACGACATGTACTTTATGCACTGGCAAAACCGCAGTCTCATCCGGTCGGCCAACAACTCGTTTCTACAAGCCCCGCCGTTAAACTACGAGGTGGCGCTGGGTATGTCCGAAGCCACCGATGGGGCAACGGTCCAAATTAGGGCCTTTCGCGCCATCGTCGGACCGTTCTTCTCTGTGGACACGTGGATTCTACCTGTCCCATTGTCGGCAGTGGACATGTATCAAGCATTTCAAACTGAAGTGCGCCAGGTCATGTCGAAATCCGCCTCGGTGGAGACCGCAGTGTCGACCATATCTGTAGCCACCACCCTCATGCCGACGCCGCTAGCCTGGTCCGATCAAACGTTATGGTTTTTCGGCGGAAATCCCATGTGTCTATACGGGCAACCGCAGAGGTTTCTGCAACAAACGTTTGGGTTTGACGACTCGTGCGACGATCAATTGCCATTGACGGTGGTGGTCACTAGATACGCGGCTCTCTTTAGCGTGCTCGTGATGGAGCACCATGACAAGAGTCATATTGCCGAGACGATGTGTAGCCTCGACGTTGCCCCTCGCAAGTGCCAAGGCTACATAAACACTTGGACCCAAGTGAGAGATCTCATAGCGCTACCAACGTTGCTGTCGACGGACCAAGTACTGCTGGACATACGTGCCTTAGACGTGGGCATCATGCAGTTTGCGTCGTCGGAACCATCATCTATAGAAGGGCAAGGCATGATCTTATTTCAACGGCTACTGGACGCGTCTGCGTTCGATTTTTACAGCTGGGTGATGGTGTTTGACTGGATTGAAGGCCTTCGCGAAGTCGTGCGCTTCGACGGTGACGTCCAGTCGATGACCCTCATGTCCATGCGTAATGTTCCCGTGGCTTTTGCGTCCTCGTCGACGTACGTGTCGGCGGTCTCACGGGGCATCATCTACTTCCTCGGGTACGTTTCGATGGTGCTAACCGTGGTGGGGATATGGTGTGTTCTGGCAACGGTTTCTGCCGTGCAAAAGTCATCGAGGACGAGTCCGAACTTGGTTTGGTTCAACCACGTCGTGGGAGCAGTGTGGATTGGTCGGCCACTGCTCCTCCTTCGAGGGGTCACGGCTATCCTTTTCCTCAGCACCGCCCAGCTGCATGTGACGACGGGCACAACTTCGTCGTCGTCGCGCTTTGAACTGCGGACTCGGTCGTGGCTCGACACTGCAATTCTGGCGGGCGAGGCAACGTGGGTGCTCTACGTGGCGGTAGATTTCTTAACGATCGTGAGCCGCCGATTCACGAGGATGTATGCCCCAGTGGCGTACGTCTTGTCTTGGGGCGTTCTCGTGGGGTTGGAGGTGGTTGACCCCGTGGTGCCTATCGCATGGACCCAGCGCATGTGTACGTCACAAGACATGGACCAGGCGCTGTCGTGCTCCAGCGCGGTGCTGCAAATAGGATCGTACCAGCGCGTGTGGAAGATTGTGTTGTTGCAAGTGCTGGCCCTCGGGGGCGGTGTGGTCGTAGCGTCGGTGGTGCCGCCCCTCTTGCTTGGAGTGAATAAGAAGCCGTCCACTCGGCGTCGGCGCTCTCGTCCGTCGGAGCGGCATGTGCTGAGTGTCGCCGCCTCACTGTTCTTTCCATTGGAGAAGCCCACATCCACTACGTCGACGTCGCTGGGGACGTTTGACATGCCGACGATTCCTTCCCACGATGTCGCGTCGTGGTTGATGGCAGGTCTGGTTCCACTTCCATGGCGCGTCGATGCGATTTTCGACATTAAAGTGTGGTTGCTACATGGGAAATATGTCATGCCCGCGATGCTACCGGTAAAACCCTTCACCTTTAGAATGCGACAAGGTGTTCCTGTGAAGAGGCCCAGTCGTTGGTCCAAACTTATCCGCGTGGGCGTTGCGTTGCTCTATGTTGTGGTCAGTCTCGGCAGTAGTCTTTGGTACCTCGAAATGACCCAAGCGCATTTACAAAACGACCTCATGTGGGCTAACTACAACATCACGGGCGTCCACACGTTTATCGCGACGTGGCTCAACGAACAGCTCGCTCTGGGGACACACCAAGCCACTGTGTACTTGCACAGCGATGACATCAGCGACGACAACTCGTATGACAACCCGGACAGCGAAGTCGTATCCGTGCCAAACGGCGGGGCGTCGATGCAATACTCGGAATTAAGTACCCTTGACGCGACCATCACGGGGCTACAGACGACTGACGCGTGTTCTGTGCCTTGGATCTTCACGCAATACTGCTTTGTGGACTTCAATCAACGGTGGGAACTGGCCAACACCGAAGCTAGGCAACGACGCTGTCTAGGGATAACAGCCAACGGCGCCGTGTTTCTAGAATCCATCCTTCGAAACGTTGACTACGTGGCCTTTCGCCGTTGTTGGGGCGACGCCTTTGACGTGGCAATCGCCAACGAAGTCCAGCAGTCTGTGGATGGTCGCAACTGGTTGTCCATTGTGTCTGCGACCACCAAGCTGAGCGTAGTCGACGAGATCGCCGTGTGGACACGTCACGGCATCCGCCACTTTCAAACCCAGTGGCAGAACTTCAAAACCATCGGTTTTACCAACGAGTACGCGGTCGTGAATGCGTTCGGGATGGTCCACACGTTCGAATTGACGGCCGAGTGCGCCGCGTTTCGCTTGGAAAAGCAAACCACCATGAAAATGTACTGGGCCCTGGCCAACGACCTGCTGGCCGTAAGCGGAAATGGCACAACCATCTCTGGACGAGGGCTGATTCGGTCCAGCGCATCTTTTGCGTTTGAAAACTCCACCGTCCTAGAGATATTGGTACAACAAGGCCTTGTCCTAGCACCACTGCCACAGATCTTTGCCGTCGTAAACTCCTACATTGGTCCGTTTGGATCGGTGGACATGACGTACATTGGTTGTCCGGCCAGCGTCAAGTCGGCAATCCAGTCGATTTTCGCGGCGTTGAGTCGATCTCTAGCCAAACGCGATGACGCACAACTAGCCTACGCCAATATCATCAACGGCATGAACATTCTCAACCCAATCCCGGCCCCGTGGATTGCATTGGACTTTTGGGTACATGGAGGCAGCATGTTGTGTCCTGCAAGCCACCCCGTGGGTATTTCCCAAGGTCTGTTGGAGTTCACGTCATTGCACAAGCAATGCTCGTCCGTGCCATTGCTCTCCACCTTGTATTTCAGCCGCAAACACATGGTTGCGGCCTCGGTCTTGTCCCAATCTACCCTTGCAACGCCAGAACTCATTGCACGGACCTGTTCTGTTGGAGAAAATACAGACAGCTCGTGTGCAGAGATCATAAACCGCAGTGTCGCGTTCGCAAGTGACGTCTTGGCACCGCATTTGGCCGTGGACATGTCCACAATAGTGTCCGATGCGATCGAACAAGTCATGGCGCTCAATGTGGAGTTGATTCAATTTGGCACTACGATGGACAATGACGAGGTGTCCCCTCTGAGATTGTTCCGAACCGCCTTGTTAGACCCCGTCCATCCCGAATTCACGTTCTTTGCATGGATTTTCCTCATTGATTGGGCGCGGGGGTCTCGCGACGTGGTGCAATTTGCCGGCGACCGAGGAAACGTCACCTTACTCACCGATTTCGAGCCCCCCCTCAAGCAACCTGTTAACCTGGCACAATACCCAGGGTATTTATCCAAATACCTTCTCAGTGCCATGTGGTATTCCACGCTCACGGCCATGTTCGTGGCGGCGTTGATGGTGCTCTACTTGGCAATCAGTAAGGGCTATGTGGAAGCCGCCAACTTGTACGAATTCCAGCGGGTTGGGTCGATTGTGTGGATCGGTCGGCCGTTTCTAATCGGTCGGTGCATCACGGCCATGGGCCTGCTCGCGTCGGCGTCACTCGAGTTGCGGTATTCTGGCCACATGACGTACATTGAATCGGTCCAAGTGCCATGGTTCAAAACGTTGCTGGCCGCGAACGAGTTTACGTGGCATGTGGCAATTTTGAATGACATTGGTGTCGTCGTCACTCAAGAATACACCGTCTACTACGCGACGATCAACAGCGCGCTGGTGGGGTCGGTGGCTGCACTGGTGTCGTTCAATGCTCCGATCCTTCACGCCATGGTCATCGATAAGCAGTGCCATGTGCAGCAAGTGGACTTTGCCGTTGTGTGTACCAGTGGGTACATTGCCATTGGACAGTTGTCCCGGGTCGTCACGTTGGTGGTCGTGGTACTGGCCTGCAACGTGCTGTGCTATGTTGCAACCCGACAAATGACTGGCAAGCCAGAACCGACGGCGCTCAAGTCGGTGTTTTTGTATGCCGGGGCAAAGTACATGTTCTCAAGTGCGGAATGGATCAGCGACGGCATGTACTACATGGATCGCATGTCTGCAGCCATGAACGGCATCGTAACCGTTCGATACGCCAATGTCATGTACGGCCTAGACATAAAGCTCTGGTGTACATTCCAAGTGGATGTGTCCGAGACGGTGCCGCACACTCGAGCCGCCCAATTTGCCTTGCCTTTGCGTCTCACCAGTGAGTATTAATAAGTTGCACCGGCGATTCTGTTATAAGCCAGGACATACTTAATTCATCACTGTATGGTGCCCGTGACTGAATGTTCAACGATGGGGGTACCACCCAATTGCTGAAACGATCCCATAACGAGATATGTGTCGATACTACATCTGTCATGCAATCGATAGCGGACATCAAGGGATGGTACCCCAAGGTTGCTATGCAGCGGATATAAGTGTGTTGTTTCGATAAATGCACGCGCAGTGTTTACGTGGATAATTCTAATGAGCACACCCTGCTACATTGACAGGGTGCACATAGATAATCCGACAACGTCGACATGGATATCAGTATTCATTGGATAAATGCAATGGCAACGCAAACTCGGTCGCGCGGGTGTGCGGCATCGTGTCGGCGAGGTCCACTTGCAACGTGCACCAGAACTTGATGTCGAGCCCGTACATGACACTGCCCCGACGAACCGTCAAAATGCCATTAATGGCTGCTGATATGCGATCCATAAAGTACATATCATCGCTGATCTATTCCGCCGTTGTAAACATGTACTTGGCTCCTGCGAACAAGAAACCAGACTTGAGTCGGGTTTTCTGGGTATTCGTCACTAGGTAGCGTGTGATGGCATAGCACACCACATTTCGAGACCAGGACGATGGCAATCAAAAGCACAAAGCGGACGGGTTGGCCGATGGCTAGGTCGCCAGTCGTGCACACGACCTGAAAGTCCACCTGCGCCATGTGACATTGTTGTCGATGGTCAGCGAATAGGTCATGGGAAGGGCCAGCGAAATACCCGCCATGACCACCCACACGAAGAAACTGCTGGCTGTCGAGTAGGACGGCGTGTACTGGTGGGTGAGCACCAAAGCCAATCATTCACCACCGCCGCGAGCCACGTGATTTCGTTGGCCGCCAGCAACGTTTTCAGCACCGACAGCTGCGCGGATTCAAAGCATGAGATGCGGCCAGAGTAGTGCAATTCCAGGGTCGCCGTGGATGGAGAAGTTGTGGACAAGCTGGGTCTGAATTCGTCAGACCGCACGCTGCGTCGATCTTGTCTGGAGTGGCCGAGCCCAATTGGTGGGTTGTCCAGTGCGCCACTTCGCCTGGTATAGTCGTTATGGGAATAAACCAAACATCTGACGACAGTCATGCAACGCCTGTATATATTGACAAGGATTGTTGGACGTTGATGCGATCCACTTCTGACCTTCAGGGACTTGGAGGAGCCAGTCCAGCACCATGCCGAAGATCCCGTCGCTTTGGCCGTAATACCCCCTCAAATCGTTCCAAGCTATGTTTCGCAGGACGGTCTCCATGTACACGGCGCCATTGGCCTTGTGAAGGTTCTCACACCGATCTTGTCTGTTTTGGGTGTGCGCGACTTCAAATCGTTGCGTGAGATCGACCCAGCAGTACTGGGTTCCTATCCACATGGCATCTTGCGTCGTCATCGTGCGGAGGTTTTCCACGGCATGCTTGAGCTCGGTCAGGACCAGTCACCGAGGATACACCAGGTAAATGTCGGTGGTCGAGGCTAGCCTCGCGTAGTGTTTGGCGACGGCAGCTCGTGGGGATAGGAGATCCATGGGACCGGATGCAAGCGTGGGCAGCCACGAGTTAAAGATGCCGATGATCAGCGCTTGGTGGTGTGTCGTGGAGTTGGCGCACCACATGTCATTGAGCATCGCAGGGTTTAATATTTAGATGTACATGAACACACAGCCGACAGTGCAATGTAGCCACAGCCTAGCGCTGTTGACAGCAGCGACGGTTTTGTGGGCGGCGTAGGGAAATCGCCTGCAGGTAGGATTTGCATGACGTTCCAGGTAATACCCTGTGATGGTGGATTTTGAAGTCGATGGTGGTGTCTAAGGGTGAAACTAAAAGCAATATTATATGATCCTAGTGGCCAATAGTTTCGTTGTTGGACTGCCACTTCGCAGTTACATGTAAATGCGACTTTACAGTATTACGTGGTGTTGAAGTTTACTGTAAGATTACTACTACGTAGTACTTCAGTGCCTGAACTGTGACATTAACCTTAACGTAAAAAATCAATCTGGTACTGCGCGTCCACCGAGTCCAAGTGCTGCAGATTTTGCAACTTGTCGCGGAACTCGGAGCCTCCACACAACGGCTGCGTGCGCAAGGACCGCCACTCGATGCGCGCCAGGTCCAAGCGCTGGTCGGCGTTGCAGATGAGGTGACTTATGTAGTGTACACTGAAACTGACGCAACATCACCGCTTCATCAACAGTTTGCCACACACGTCATATTTTGGTACTGTAAAATTCACAACTTCAATACATGAACAAAGAAATGTATTACTCCAAGTAATTTGGATTGCAGGGTTTCCTGTAATCGCTGTCATGGCTGTGCCAGCCAGGACAAGTTCTAATCTGGGCGTGGGATTGTTACCCTGAATACCGGTTGGACATGTGCAGCGGAAGTGCAAAGTGGGCCGCGGTTGTATGGGGACTGGTGTCTGCTAGATTCACGTGAAGCGTTCGCCATAGTTTGATGTCCAGCCCATACATGACAGTGCCCCGTCGAATGGTCAGGATGCCGTTCATGGCCGCGGACATGCGATCCATGTAGTAGATGTGGCCGTCAATCCAATCGGCAGTGGAGAACATGTACTTGGCCCCAGCGTACAAGAACACGGACTTGAGCGGCGTCGACTCTGGTTTGTCCATCACGTGTCGGGCGGCAAAGTAGCACAACGCGTTGCACGTCAGCACTGCACCAACCATACCCACAAGGCGCAGCGGTTGTCCAATGGCAAGGTGGCCGCTCGTACAAACGACCAGCGAGTCCATTGCTGCCACTTGACATTGCTTGTCGACTACCATGGCGTGACTTGTTGGAATGGCAATTGAAAGGGTGGCTGTGAACAGCCAGACCAACATAGTGTTGCCCGTGGCGTAGTGAGGCGTGTATTCTTGCGTCAGCACCAGCGCCATGTCGTTCACAATCGCCACAAGCCACGTGATTTCGTTGGCGGCGAGGATCGTCATGTACCACGGAACTTGAGCCGATGTGAAAAACGTGATGTAGCCAGAGAAGTGCAGCTCGAGGGATGCTGTCGAGAGTACACCGATGGCAGTAAGGCTTCGAACAAACAACAGCGGCCGACCGACCCACACGATGGCCCCCACGCGTTGCAACTTGAACAAGTTCATCACGTCCACGTGCCCATGGCTCAACGCAATGTACACGAGCAAGAGGACCGCCAAGAAGATCATTGTCGAAGTCACATACAGTACCACATTTCGAAGGTACGACGCTAAATTCACTGGAAACTGCACCATGCTCACGTGATCTTTCACGAAGGGCTGGTATTCCGTTAACAACGTTATGTTTCCAACATCGCCCTCAAATGACACGACTTCGCGATAGCCCACGACCCAGTCGACCAAAAACACCCACGAAAAGAACTCGAAGCTTTCGTCAGAGGGGTTGAATACCAAGGAACGGTACAGCGTCAAAGGAGATGCTTCGTCCAGCCTGCCATACTGTACAAATTCTACGTTCAACGCCACAACTGCGTCGATGGCCTGGGCTACCATTGACGCTACAACGTGTTTGTCGATTCTGTTGTGAATATACGTGTCAATAAACGCGATGATCGAAGCCAAGTATTTCATGCACAATGGGTTTCCAGTACCGTCGTGTCGACATATGGAAGCCAGAAATTCTGGAGTGTTTCGGAGCGGCAGTTGCGATAACAGCGCAGCCAACAGGGCATTTTGCTGATCAAACGCTACGGCTGCATACATTGGTGTGAATGAACATTGGCGATGCCATGCCACGAACCCTTGTAACCCCGTTCCAACTGGGCTTGGCTGGGCTTCCGGACACAAAATGCTGCCGCTCACCGAATTAAATTTCAAATCTATCCACTGCCTTGGCACTGGGTTCATGAGGTTCAAACCACTGGGAAGGTTGAAATACGCAACTTGTGCCGCGTCGCTTTGCGCGAGGGACTGCCTCAGTGTCGTAAAGACTTGACGAGCGACGCCTTTCAAGATCGACGGGCACGGCACGTAGGTCACGTCCACAGATCCGAACGAGCCAAGCTCAGACTGGAGCAAGCGATACGCGTTGGGCAACGGACTCGACACCGTGCCATTCTCCATCAGCAGCGACTGCATCGATGTATTGGCAAACGCAAAGAGCGAACTCGACCGGATCAAGCTGTGTCCGGCAATGGCAGTGGCATTGTTGGACACGGCCGCCAAGTCGCTCGCGAACGCCCAGTACATTTTAAACGTCGTTTCGCTTTCGAACCGAAACCTCGAGTATTCGTTTTGCAGCGTGAACGGGTACGAGATGCCATACACGTTGGTCACGGCGTAGTTGTTGACAAGGCCGATGGTTTTGTAGTTTTGCCACTGGGTGGTAAAGTGACTCACTCCGTGGGTTTTCCAGAACGCGATTTCAGTACTCACGCTTGGTTTCTCGTCGGCGAACACCTCATTAAGCCAGTCTTGACCTGCCGTCGATTGCTTCAAGTCGTTCACGATTGCGGCATCGATCGCATGTCCCCAGCATCGGGCAAACTCGCGGCAGTCAATGTTCCTCCATACGGATTCGAGAAACACGGCCCCATTTGATGTCATTCGTCGGCAGCGCTGCTGTCTGGCTGCAGTGTTGGCCAAATCCCACCGCTGGTCAAAGTCCACAAAGCAGTACTGCGTGGAAATCCATGGCACTTCACACGCATCCGACGCCCGAAGGCCCACGATCGCGTCTTGGATGGCATTCAGTTCCGTGTAGAGTAGCATTTGGCCAAAGTTGGAGGGCGACATGATACGACTGCTGTCTTGGTCAAACGATCCATCTTGATTGATATACTCGACGTCCATGGCAGTCTCCGTCTTGCGCACGCCAAGATATAGCTCGTCGTTTAGCCAGTTGGACATGAACACATGCATTCCAGACATATTGAACGTGGCCCAATACAGATCGTTGGCCAAGTTCACTTGGGCGACCTGAAAGTATAAAACACTTCCAACAATTCCCCCTACAGCATAGAGCACTGCCGCCAACTCACCAACCCGCTGCAGACGTTGCTGCGATTTTTTGGACAAGTACTTTTCGTAAGGTGGCGATGGCTGGAGTTGGGAAAAGTTCGCAATTGTGGCTTTGCGAGCTATTCGTGAATGGCTCGTGTCGTGCAACCACAACTTGATATCAAACAGCCCTCCTCGTCGCCAGGGGATGAGTCCGGCCATGAGCTGTGACGCAAAGTTCTGCGAGGCCAAGTCGTCCAGATCTGAGACCTCCAGAGGAAAATAGTTGTCGGCTACACCAAGGATGTACCGCTGGAAACGAATAGCAGGGACGGGGTGCCGCCGTTCGAGCACTGTCTTGTATACCAAGGAAATGGCCATGGCCGCACAGATCGAAAGGCTCTGAATCAATAAGATTAGGCGTACCCGATCGAACGACCCCATTCGAATCCCTCCACTGGAACATTTGATGGCTTGGTCCATGTTTTGGCCAGTGCAGACACGATCGATCCAGGCCCAGGGCAGCACAGGCACCGTCAGTTCCACCAAGACCAGCACGGACCATGCAATGACGCAGCTCAGGGGGGCGTACGACCTGGTAAAGTGAGACGTGACCACAGTGAGAAAGTCCACCGCAACGTACAGAGCCCAAGTGGCTTCGCCAGCAATCACACACGTGCTGAACCAGTATCTCGGTCGAAACTCAAAGTGGGAATGGACGCCGTTGATCGTGGCCAGGTGGAGCTGGGTCGTGCTTAGAACGAGGATGGCGGTGCCACCACGGAGCAGGAGCAAGGGGCGACCGATCCACACGGACCCCACAACGTGATTGAACCACAAAAACTCGGAAGTTTGCAACTTGGAAGTCCCAAAGGCCAGCGTCGAGACGAGACTTGCGGTGCAAATCGTAGCTAAAATCGCCGTGACGTAGACCACGACGTAGTACAAGCCGTGTGTCGCTGACGCAATAGACTCTGCTCCGCTGAAAAATTGCACTGGCGACTCTGCCACCGACATCAGAGTCAACGATGCCACGTCTCCGTCAAATCGAACGACTTCGCGCCTCCCAGAGACCCATTCGTAGATGAAGAACCACCCAAAGAACTGAAAGGCAGGGTCTTGCAGCAGCGGCTCGAACAAGATTGTCATGTTGAACCCGTCCACGGATGATGCAAACTGCATGATCCCCACGTTGAGAAGTGTGACTTGGTGGAATACGTCGTCGAACAACGCAGTGAAGCTGGCTGGGACTGGGGGCAAGTGCTTTTCGACTTCAAGAATCGATTGACACAACCGACGGCAGGATTCGGGAGCAGCGACCACCGCACAAATGTCGTCAACTTGCACCCGTTTGGTCGCCTGGACGGCGAAAAGGCTGGCGTGCAAATTGTAGTCGAGAGAAAGTGGGGTCTGTTTGTCGCACAAGTCGTGAAAACCAAACGTGTTTTGCACGTACACCTGAGGGGCGCCACGCAGGCAGAGAGGGTTTCCACCGTAAAACAATCGGTCTTGGCGAGTCCACGATGGGGGAGTGGGGGAGAGAGTCGTGCCCTGGATCGCATCTGCTGCGAAGTCAATGTCGACGTTCAGCCTCGCCATGGCTAGAACAATGTCCTCGAATTGCCGATACAAGGCCACGACTGTCGGCGGCACGGGGACGACAAACGCGTCGACACAAAAGAAGGGGCCGATGGACGCCCGGAACGCGTCCACTTGGGTCAAATACTCGCCAACATTGGTGGGCATACTGTCCATAACTACCTCGGGGTGTTGGAGGAAGGAGTTGTTGGCAGACCGAATGAGGCTTCGATTGGTCAAGTACATGTAGTACATGTCGTTCATGATGGTCCAATACAAGATTACAGACGTCCACGTCACCTCAGCATACGACACACTGCGCAGGACTAGTTCTTGCTGCATGCCAAGGGCGTTGACCAGCACAATCGCGTCCGACATGCCGTTGACAAAGTCGTTCTGCCACTGCAGCGTAAACGACGTGATGCCGTTTTCAGTCCAGAGCGCCACTTCCTCGGCCGCAGTCGTTGTGGGTCGAGCGGACGACGTGGTTGCCACCCAACGTCGACCGTCCTCACTTTGGACGAGCCAATCTTGAACGGCGATCTCAAAGACTGCCCCGTAAAAACTCATAAAATCGTCCCAGACTTGGTTTCGCAGCATTGATTCCATGTAGACTGCACCGTTGGAGCGGTACCGATCCCGACAGCGAGTTTGACGTGTTTCGGTGTGGGCGATTTCGAATCGTTTCTGGAAATCCACCCAGCAATACTGAGTTCCCATCCACAGGCTGTTTGGGGCGTCTAAAGACCGTAAGTTTTGCACGGCATATTCGACAGAAGTGAGCTCTGTCAAGACCAACTGCCGGGGATAGGTGGAATAGACGGCTGTGCTTGGTATAACGGCGGTGTATGGTCTGCCGATGGTAGCTCGTGGAGAAAAGATGTCAAGTGCGCCAGACGATTGTGAGGGGAGGATGGCGTTGAAGATGTCGATGACCAGCGCTTGGTCTCTGGAACTGGAGTAGTTGGCCCACCACACGTCGTTGGAAAGTGAGGGTTGAACCACGTAGAGGTACCATACCGAACAAATGATAGACAGTGTGATGTAGCTACAACCGACAAGAGTCCATGGAATATTGGGAGCTCTGGAGGCAGGGATGTCGGGGAGACCACTGTCCATCGGCAGTACTCGATGCATGCCTTTGTAATGACCGTTTACTCACTGACGATTTTGTAACGATGTTTCATTTGCAGTTAGTTATTGCTGATCAACTCGCTTTGGAAGCGTTTCGCGGTTACATTTGTCGGGCGGTAAAATACTGACTATTACGAGTATACAAGCCAAGTGGTCTTCCAGCAACAACGATGATAAGATCTGTACAATAGACTTGCCGTGACTCGAGGCAACACGGCAAGCCAATTGGTTTGGTCTTCTTGATTGTACAAGCAAAATGTCTACTGCCAACCCTACGACAATAGAGACTTTTACGAATGATTTCCCAGAACTCCGTGGAGAGATACAACAGTGCAATATGACAAACCCTGAAAAAAAAAACGCTCAATAAATTTGGATACCGGTAAACCAAGGCTGAAAACCGTTCAAACGAATAAACTCTAGTTAGATCAGGCATATGTTTTTGTACTCTGACCACCTCAACCCCGGGGATTGAGCATTATACTATACGTGATGTCCTTTGGCTGGCACTTTTCTGAAATGACTGGTGGTGTTCCGTTTTGGCGGTTTT